AGGTGAATATTGATAGGAACGAGAAGGAATAAGGAAGTGAAGTCAGTTAATGAGGCCACACAGCTCAGGAAGAGAAGAGAGGCTGGTCAGGGAGCCTGAAGAAAGCTGAGCTGGGCCGAGGGACAAAGGCTGCATGCCAGGGTCTGGACCCTGTCCCTGCAGGGTGTGCGGGAGCGGAGGGCTCCAGGGAGGCCTGGAAGTCAAGGTCCAGGTGAGCAGAAGCAGTGGGTTTCCGCATGTGTTGAATTAAGAAGGAGCGGGAGATGCTGCCTCGGTTAGACACGTTTCTGAGGTGGCCTGTTCAGGCCAAAGGGCCAGGTGCCATCGGTAGCACGTGGGCCGGCTCTGTAAGGAACCCTGAGTGCCAACTCTCTGAATGGCACCGTTGCCACCCGCAGGGATGTGGCCCCCTTTTCAGTAGCCCCACGTGACGCCCGGGGCTTCCCAAACCCAGTCTTAACCACTGGATCGATGCCTCCACGCCAGCACCTTATAATCAGCAAACAATCGCATTTAGGAGTGTTTACTGCCAATGCACAAGGCACATCCCAGTTTTAAGTAGCTGCCTGTCAACCATCTTTCTCAGTTCAGCCCCGTATGCAAGAAAGACAAAGCAAAGTAGAAGCGAGTCCTTGGAGAGGGAGGGGAGGTGGGCGAGAGGGAAGGGGGCAGAAACCCGGGAAAACTCTCTTCTTTGGGCAGTGGCATTTCCTGGCTGTGGCACTGGGGGAGGGGTGTTGGCAGAAAAGCCTTCTCTGCCGCCCCCTCCTGTCGCTACTTGTCAGTGGGTCTGTTTCAGATGAGGAAAAGGAGAAACTCTTTACCCACTGAGGCAAAAGGAGAGAACGTGGGAGAAAATTGAGACAACTGTCACGTTTCTCAGCCTCCCGGTGACAAATGTTTTTCGAGTGCTGACTGAGTAGCAGTAAGACTATGAAGCTGTTCGATTAATTCCCGTTCAGTTACAACTTAGGGCGCCCACCCTTTACCTTCCAGCATCTTCTCTGCCAGCCTTGGCCGGTGGAGGCAGCAGCAGCCTGCTGCTGTCTGCTGAAGGGGCTGCGTGACCAGGCTGTTTCAGACGAATGCCAAGGGAAAGGAAAATGCCTCGAATGGGTGAGGGTGAGGAGCAGGTGCAGCGCTGATGTTAAGACAGGGGAACCCAGGCGGGAAAATATCGAGGTGCTCAGATTGAAAAGCCCCAGGCTGGAGCCCAGAGGCCAGGGGTCCCCCACCGTGGATTCAGTGCCTTCACTGGCCTCCCTAGCTGTATTCGGCCCTCAGCGTGGGGGCGGGCAGGGAACCGTCACCGTGTGGCCACCGTGCTTGCACGGCCGGTCCAGACGGCCTCCACAGTCACCTGACCTGGGCTCTGCCTGGATTCCTTCTCCAGGTGCTGCCGCAGAGACTTTCTAGGGGAGAGTGCCATTCCAGAAAAGATGAGCAGGCAGGGGAGTAAGGGGCGGAAGTGGGGGCTGGGGCAGAGCGAGGGAATCCCGGAAGATAAATTCAATTCGGCTTTAGTGGAAGGTCTGTTTGAAATTTCCGTAATTCACAGTGGAAATCCAGGCACCCCGGGGGCTTCTGGGCAACGTAATTTGCATTTGAGGGGAATGGCGAATTTCACTCTTGCACAACCCTCAACTGCCCAGAGCGAATTTTCCTAATGAAATCTAACGAGACAGCTACAGAAGCCAGGGCACCCTGCAACCAGCCCTTGCCTGGGGGGCGGGAGGGGGAGAGGAGAAACCTGTCGTCCTCGGCTGGCTGGCAGTCCTCGGCCCTGTGCCCCTCACGCCCCTCAGGTTTGAGAGTGGGGGGCCTCTCCCCGAACCCGAATCCAGGACTTAGAGTTTGAACTCTAAAACAGGATTCCCTAGGTTTTAACATCTCTGTTTGGTCGAAGCCGCTGAGGTAGATGTGTGAAAACCCCACTGCACCTGTGAAATGGAAGTTTCTGGGCCAGGCTGGAAGGGACTCTCAGAGGGAGGGGACACTGAGGGGAGCTAATCTGAGAGCCTCCCCCACCCCCCAAATAGTGGCCGTCCATTGCCATCCCGGGCTATTAAAAATGCTCTAATGCTGAGCTGCCGTTGCCCCTGCTGCCCAGATATTTGAAAACTGCCAGAGTCTCCCCTAAACCTTTTCTTCCCCCAAACTGTATTTCTGCAACTACTCTTTAGAGCCCTAACATTTACGGGCTCAGTGACACCTGTCTCCAGATCTTCCCTTCCTTCCAGTGTTCTCGTCTCCTCACATCCTGCAGTTTCTTCCGTGACCCCCCAAACCCTCTTTTCCTTTTCGTCACCCTCAACTCCTCCCCCACCTCACGGCGCCCACCTACCCTTGTCCGCGCAGCCTAATCTTCCTGTGGCCTTCCTGACAGCCATGCCTGCCTGTTAACTAGGAATGTGCTCACCCTAAAACAAGCCCATGGAATAAAAGCAGGCTGTCCGCACACAGCCGGGAAGACAGCCCCCCCAGTTCTGCCCTGGAGGAGGGAGCTGGTGGGCGTGCGGGGGCACCATGGCTCCTTCTCGGAGGCCCTGCCCTTGCTGGCTGAGTGCTGTCGGCAGGTGATGGAGGCCCTGCACTGCAGATTGTTGGCCTTGGGGGAACTAAGTCACTAGGCTGTTTACTCCGGCTTCTCTGCCTCGCGGATTAACGGGGCACTAGCACCAGCACTGGTACCAGCGGCTTTGGGAAAAACAAACACACACAAAACCGAGATTTAAAAGGGAAAACAAACAATGAAATTCACCTTCTATCTAGCCTGGTAATATGTGGCAAAAAAAAAAAAAAAAAGGCGAAACATAAAAGTGAGATGTTAAATCATGTAATTTGACACAAACCAGGTTTGTTTTTAACCATTTGCTCTGCTTATCCACGCATTTGCAACAGAAGCAAAATTGGTTTTGGGGGAGGGGGGAGTGCCAAGAAATCTTACTTGTTACCAGGTGCTGCAGTACAGAAACAGATAACACAGTATAGTGTGTACCTGTGGTATTCAAATTTCGTGGGAGAGGAGCAATTAAGAAAAAAATGTCTGGAAAAGCTCCTGGGAGGGAGTGATAATGAAGAGGCTGAGGAAATTGGTTGACCCCAACTAACTAGCTGCAGCTTCCCAGCCAGGTTTCCCAGGTCCAGCCTCATCAGGACACTTAGAAGTATTGCTGGATAATGCATTCGACACTTGCGGTCAGCTCCTCCGGGCTGCAGTGCTCAGCGCACAGCTGGCCCCACTCTGAAGAGCTGGCTCGCAGACACTAAGACCAAGGAGGGCAGCTTGGGGAAGCAGGCACACGAGACCAACACTACGTATCTGCTCCCAGAGGCAGCCAGGGTTTTCCCATGTTAGGAACCGGGCTCAGTGGACTTCTGTATTTAGCTTGCCTCTTTAAACCGTTTTTGGCCATCTATCCAAAACCAGATTTGGCAAAATCAAATTAGATCGACACAAAATAGATTTCTTCACAACTGGTGCTTTTGATTCAGTCAACCTTTGAAAAACTTTTTGGCTCCATTAGCGTTAAAATTATTGATCGAGTCAAAGTGGGCAACTCTGGGCTTCTAAATGAATCAACCTGCAAGCACCTGGGGCTGAAAGGGGTGCTGGGACCATCTCATTCAGCTCCTTCATTTTCCATGGGAAGAAACTGAGGCAGAGGGGTGCTGGGTCTGACCCAAGGCCACTGAGCAGGACTGGGACTAGAACAGGTCCTGCTGCCCATCTCAGGGGCATCAAGATTCAGGAAACAATCATTAATGTCAAAACCCTGCAGAGTAGGACAAAGAATTCCATTCCTCCTCCTGGTACATGGGACTGGAGATGTAATTTGAGAATCTCATCCCCTTTTCTTAAGAAAAGGGCAGCACTCGGAGCTGGGGTGCGACATCACTTGCCTCTGGAAGCTTCATTTGGCTTTAATGGCTTGTTTTTTGTTATGGATCACCTTTCTGCTAAGAGACCTACTTTCCCCAACACCATGGTTTCTGCTCAGTTTCCTCGCAATAGTCTTCCTCTGCATGAAAAACAGTGATGATACCGATAAATTAAGTAAAATCCATGCAGATGATTCGAAAAAAGACCTCATTCTTACTAACACTTAAATTTCAGCTTGCTTCCTCGTTAAACCTCTGTCGCAGCTGCTGAAATCGAGGGCTAAAGAGCCAAGGGCTGTAAGCAGTTCCTGGGGTGGGGGGGGGGGTGGGGGTGGAAAGCGGCGGGTGCATTAAGGAAACAGTGAAAACAATTCCAAACTTTCAAATTCCCAGTTCTCCAATTCAGATAAACAGATGAAATGTTTGCTTGCCAGACTTTACAAGTAAACCTGCCACAGGCTGACACCACGTCACATTTGAATATTGCTACATGATTCTCCAACTGAAGAAGTTGTTATAAGAACACCTTTGTCCAAGAAAAAGCGAGTTTCCATTAAGCAGATGATTAATGTAGTAAGAGGGAAAATCCTAAACACTGGCGCGTAGCGTCACATTCAGCTAGCTCTGCTCCCCTCCTCCTCCTCTCTGCATCTGAAGTATTGTGCCTGGCTGGTAATTCCCCTATGTGGTCAACGCTAAAGTCCGCTGTTGTTGAGCGTTTCCTCGCCAGACAGACCCCACCCAAGCTGAA